TGCTACAGTCGCTCTCAATAAGGGCATTACAAAACTGTTAGGAATTCACAAATGTATTGAAATCATACTGTTTTCATGGTTGATATCTCACTTAATGCACTTAATGCCACAGTTGGCACGATTAGCTACAACTTTAAACGACTTCTGTGCTCACTTCACCAAATACTTAAAGCAGAAAGCGTGTGCACCAATTTGACTTAAAGATAGTTATGTGCACACTAAAAACTGCCTTCGGCCTCTTAATAGTATTTTTTTTAGAGTCAATTAAAGCACCTTCCTGCAACAATAGATAGCAATAGTGTCTATAATCATCCAACCTGACTGATAAGAGGAGACCGGTGCAGTCATGTAACAATAGGCTTAGAGATATGACATACGAGAAAAATGCAATATTAAAGAGTGTTTTGCCTGTCTGGTGAGAGTCAGTGTTTATTTAATGTGAATAACTTACCTTTAAAGGTTTTATACATTACAATCAGAAGAAGAATTGCATAGCCCTTTATTATTATTATTATTATTTTTTACCATTAATTTGTTGATTATTGTGAAATTCAAGTAAAAAGTTCAATGGAAGAAAACAAACCAAACGTGTCTATGCATATCTTGGGATATAAGTTTCTCTCAAAAGTGAATTCATGTTCCTAAAGTTTGTGACCACTACCTTATATTGCAAAAATTAAAAAAAAACCCTCTCTGACTGATGTTCGGCATCACATTTCCAGTTCCTCAAAGATAACAGAAGTGAAACATTGACCTGAGCGCAGAGGATCAGCTAAAACGTCTGAGAAGAAGGAATGACGTTTATGCTTCAGAGGGGGAACTTCTTAGGAAGTATTACTAAACTTCATAGGAAACCGCCAGCTGACAAAAACAGCCATTCATCAACTGTACAGTAATATTATGTGTGTTCACTGAGTTCATGTGAGTGAGTCATAACCAATAAATTCCCAGCTCACCCACAGAATCAGACTGAGTCAATTTCAAAAGTAATGTTTGTTTTTATTTCACCGTCTCACAGAACCAAGGCTCGTTTTCTCAGTGATTTCCAGCTAAACCGGCAGTCGTGCACAGTGCACACGATCACTAATTATCTTTGCACAGTCCTTCATGTGCGCTTTGCATATTTTCGCTCACGTACAAAACACAATTAAAAACAACTGTACGGGTGAGATGGGCGAGGTTTGTACAAGTTACGACCTGCCCATACCGATTTACTGAATTCAATATGATGTTTGAATGCACCGATGTTGCTCAGTGGTTTAAGTTATCTGAGATTTAAACAGGAACTCACACATGTCATTCCTTAAAGACGACTGGAAAAGATGAATCAGTATTAACTTGAGGTGTGATTGTGTTCAGCAATAGTTGTTTATACCGAAAGGGAAAGGGGAAAAAGCATGAAGTAAGATCTTGTCCAGAAAATTCCCCTATCAGCTAGTATTTATGTAAATAAACCAAACATGCCCCCGTGACTGACTGTGTTTAAAGACACTGTAACAGACAGTTTGCTATCTGCTGTTACCACAAAACTTGCTAAGAAAAAGTAATGATGCAGATAATTTATATATCACTTATCATACCAGTACTAATAAAGGAAGCCTTGAAAGTCCGTGCCCAGAAACTGCGGAACAAGAGCAAAATCCTGTTTATTTTCTGTCCGATCTGGAAGCAGACGAACTTTTCAATTAGAGGAAATGCTCTTGGAAAATTATGCGATCACACCCTAGCCGTGCTTTGATTGTAATCTTGACTGAAATAGTGGAAGCAGTCATTCATTTAAATCATCAGCTTTTACTTGTATGAACTGTTGCACATGAGCACAAATGACGAAAACAGCATTTGAACGTAAAAAGTCACAAATGTGATGTGTTCCCTTTGAAAGAAAAAGGAGGAAAGCTATAATTAGGGTAAAGACACTTTCATTTTCTGACAATGTATTTTGTGGATTTGCCCTTTAATAAAATACACAAGAATTAAAATGCATTTCCCCAAAACTCTGACATTGTTCAGGCACTAGGATTTTGAGTGGAAACATTTTTAGAGAGTTAAAAGTAGTCAAATAAAATATAGCAACCCTACTGCCACTACGATCAGAGCCAAGAAGTCCATATTTGTACAACGTAAACGCCCTCCGGTTGACAAAGCTTTCCTGATCCTAGAGAAAGATAGAACCCATGTGACCTCTGAATGTCTGAGATTACAGTCTAGCATCCTCTAGTGGTAAAGCATCAGTATTACACTATTAACTGTAATCTTTGCACCTTTTCGGCCTCGCTCAGGATATGCATTGTGTTAAACAATATGAGCAGCTGAAACATCTCCTTTAACATAATTACACTCTCGGTAGCCTTAAAAAATTCCACAGAGTTTGACATTCTATCCTTCCAAGGTCAAAAGGATAATGATAAAAATGAAACCAAAACAGGAAAACACTTTGCTTGTGATTTAAGGCCACAATTTCAGTTTCAAACCCCTTCTTAGTCTACACACTGTGCACAAAGTGTCAGTACTGCAACGTAAACCAAAAAAGTGTCCAAAAAACATGTGAATGCAGATAAACAAAGCATCACAAAGAGAACCCAAAGTTCACCTACAGGCTGAGGTGTGAAGCGAGTGAACACAGGTTTATCTGCACAGCTTTCCTCTGTGACCAAACACACTGAACATTGTTATTTTGTGAAGCAGCAGAAGCATCTTCACACAATGTTCCTCATGAAATCAGACATTAATTCATATTATATCCTGCATCCTAACAATGTTTTTGTATATGATGTGTTTTTATTTTTTCTAAATGCAATATTATTCTCGGGCTGCAAGGTGGTGCACTTGGTAGCACTGTTGTCTCATAGCAAGAAGGTTGCTGGTTCACGTCCCGGTGAGGACACCTGGGATCTTTCTGTGTGGAGTTTGCATGTTCTCCCCGTTCTCTCCGGGTTCTCCGGCTTCCAAGGAGGCCCAAAAACATGTTGAGGTGAATTGGTCATTCTAAATTGGCCGTAGGTGTGAATGTGAGTGTGCTTGGTTGTCTGTCTCTAAGTGTAGCCCTGTGATAGACTGGTGACCTGTCCAGGGTGTCCCCTGCCTTCACCCTGAGTCAGCTGGGATAGACTCCAGCCCCCCATGACCCTAGCGAGGATGAAGCGGTGTGTAGACAATGGATGGATGGATGTTATTCTCTCTTTAGTTGCTCTAATGGTGTGTGGCCAAGTTAGTTATAATGATCCATCAACACATTTGTCAATGCAGTTGTCCAATTTTCCTGTTAGGTTGTGCATTCACACGCCGTAATTTAGAAAAATCCTAAACCATATGGGAAAATATAACTTGATTTTACATTATGTACTGTTCTTCTAATTGTATATATATAAATGGTAAAATGGCAAATTCACTGTACTTATATAGAGCTTTCCTACCTTAGCGGTACTCAACGCGCTTTACAATGTTTCTCATTCATACATACACGAGTGACGATAGAGCTGCCATGTAAGGTGCTGCCTGCCAAGGACACTTCAACAGAGGAGGGGCGAGGGGTTGAACCGCCAACCTCACAATCAGAGGACCGCCACTCTACCACCTGAGCCACAGACCCCCCTCACCAATGTTTTTATTAGAAACATCTACACACCTGCTTCTTCACTGGCCAATCATGTGGCAGCGATGCAATGCATAAAATCTGGCACACACAGCTCAGGAGCTCCAGTTCACGTTCATCAAACATCAGAACAGGAAAAAGTTTGGTCTCAGTAACTAACCGAGACATGATTGTTGGCCACAGCATTTGTGAACCTGCTGATCTCTTGGGATTTACACCACAATAGTCTCTCTAGAGTTTGCTTTGAATTGTGCAAACACCCCCAAAAAACTTCCAGTGAGCAGCAGTTCTGCAAAAGGAAACACTTTGTTGAAAAGAAAGGTCAGAGTAAAAACGTTGAAGCACTGAAATGCAACAACGCAACTCATGTTCAGTGATTACTGAAATGAAATGAAAATGTTTTCCTCGTTGTCCGTTGTGCAAAGTCTTCATCGTGAAAGTGATTAAAGCTGTCAGAGCAGAACGTACAATATACGTTAAGGAAATGCGGTGGAGTAGAAGTATAAAGTATGGAAATACTCAAAGTAAAAGCAACTCAGGTTGTACTTGAATACAGTTCTTGAGTAAATGTACTTGGTTTCTTTACATTACTACATCTATATTTTTGCCAGTTCATCATGTTCAAAATATTTTCAGGGAGGGCCAACGCCAAGAAAACAAACCAAGCATCCCTGAGTGGAAATAAAATCACAGTACTAAATAAACAACCCTAAAACAAAAAAACATAATCCCAACCAAACTACATATCAGATGAAAAAAACAGAGGAACCCTGAACAAACATGGCAGCTCTCCATCGCCAGGCTTCCTGTCTAGAGGTCCAGAGTAACAATCAGACCAGACAGAAGAGGAAAACCAGCAACAGAAACCAATGGCTGTTTTCCTGTGTGCACCCTGGCAATAACACTGGAGATCATCTACCAAATAACTTAAGCGCACACTGCTCCAGGTGTCAGCTGCAAGAGCCAGCGATGGCCAAGAAGATCAGTTCTTTAGGGTTTCTAAATCCCCAACTGGACGGTGATTGACTGCGGCGAACAGCAGGGGGGTGGATGGAGAGACTACAGCTGAAGCCCCCAGAGGCTGTGCAGCAACACAACACATCAGACAAACACTTCCTCTACACTTGTCTTTTATTTTTACTGAAATGCTCTAAAACTAGTCGGACGGTTAAACCCAGATTTAGCACTTGGGCCTCATTTTTAGTGGAACATTGTATGGATGTGGACATCCTTTGTGTCTTCCCACTTCAACAGCATTTTACCAGAAGTCGTGCTCAAACTCAGCTTTCAAAGCCTAAAATGAAAGAACTATTAGTCGCATTTACCCAGTCTTCCTATCTCTGTTTCATGACTTCACACTCCAGAGAATCTCCCCAGCTGTTTTCATTTATTCTTCCTCAATGCTTTCCTGTTTAAGTCTGTTCATCTGACCTCCTCCCACTCCAGCTTGTAGCCTGTAAAGTATCCATTACGTATGAGTTTATAACGTAAACCATCTAATTCCCACAGAAAAGTATAAAAAATGTGTTCTGATTGTCCTCAGCCATAGCTTCAACCCTGTTACACATGCAAAGATTTAAAACCTTGTACTTGAAAACCGAATCGTAGATGTAGATGGTGTGATATCCTGTAGCGGTAAAACATCCGTTTTATGTTATGAAATAGAAGCTTTGCACCTCAATAGGCTGCCTTCTCATAGAATACAGCGTTGTATGTATAATTATAAACCACACTTAAACATCTTCCATGGAGAGTTGAGACGGACCAGAGGATGATAAGACGATGTTCTGGTTGCACAAGAAAAACTTTGATGAAAGTTGTACAAAATGGTGATTATACGTGTGCAGGAGAATGTTTATCAGGGGATTCATACTCTGGTGAGTTGATTTGCTGAACCACACCAACCCCTTCCAACTTACTTTGCAAAATCTTTCAGGTCTGTAAGCACATGTGTGAATACAGATAAGCTCAATTTCTAAGGTTAGGCCCTGAAATGTATCCATTCAAGCAGAAGAAAACATGCGCAATTAAAGATCAAAATTAGACTGAACACAGCCACAACTGTTAAATGTTGATATTTTGAAGTTACGTAGATTCACCATACTTACTTGTTTTTCAAACACTGAATAGCCACAAAAGATCCTCAAGTAATCCTGTGTGTCTATTGACTTGTGTGGTTGAAGAGGAAATAAACAATCAAAAAGATGACATCATTTGTCTCTTTGCATGTGGTTAATTTCAATCATTTTTTCCATCATGAGTCCAAAAATTTCCCCAGTGCAGTGCTAAATGTTCTACCCAGGTTAGGTTAACTGAGATCATGTCTCTATGTGGGTTTGGTGAAGAAATATTCTGTTCCCTGGAGCTCTGATCAGCAGCTGATGGGGATCTATTTGGGTTTTTAAAAAAAGAAAATGGTGATTGAAGTCGAGAGTGAAATGCTAGCATTGTTCAAGAATAATGTAGGTTGAAGATGTGGCGATCAGGAGGAAGGTGAAGAAGAATCAAAGAGTCAGAGCTAACTTAAATTACAATCCTTTATTTTTTTCATAAGCGCAATGTGAAGTGATGGAGCCCATCTAGTTGTATATAGAGTTCAAATCATGGCCTTGCTGCAGATGACCTACTGCTCTGACCAAAGGATCATGTATCTGATTTCTCTGATTGTGTTCTTGAATGAAAAATCTAGATTTCAGTTAGAAAGTAACTATTGAAGTACATCATAAAGAATTTTAAAATGCATGCATTGAGAAGCATAAATGTACTGTAAGACTGTATCAGGAAGAACTGGAATACACAGCTCATGTTGCAGATGGCAGCCCTGTAGTGGTGGAATATCAGCGTTACACTGTGAAAAATAAACATTTTTATTGAATTAACTGCTTTTTATTGATATTGATATGAGCTACATGCATATAGGAGATGGGTGGCCATTTATTCTGCAAAATAAACTCCCTCTTAATCACTCTGGAAATGAAACAAAGCAAGAGAAAGAATCAAAAGTATGCAGCTTTGAATCACTGTGGCGCTGGAAACCATAACCTCGTGGTATGTTGACTTGGCCACTAGGGAGCGCTGTGGTTCTTCAGGTCCCAGGTCCATTTTAGCGTCACACCAGTACATGGTTGAGTTGTACTCTGTACTGGCGTCGGTGTACAGAGTGAAGGCCTCAGTCACTGGTGTCTTGCTGGTGTTGTTGGAGCGGAGTTGACCCAGTACTGTCGACCCTCTGTAGAAGGTCACAGTGAGGTGTTCAACAGGCGCCACATCATAGACCATACACTTCAGAGAGTATTGACTGCCCTCAGAGTCCAACCCATAGTCTCGCTCAGCGTACATCACCACACGCCCTGGAAGATCTGTGGAGACAAGCAGGGACAGAAGTACAGACATTGGTGCACACAGTCAGAAAATGTAAGCAGTAAGTGACTGAGCATCGGTTGGGGACACAGGTTGCTTTTGTTGTTGTTTTGTTTTTCTTCTTCTTCTTTTTTTTTTAATTGGTGTTTTCGTTTGCTGTCATTTTACAATATTTAACAATCCCATATATTAATAAAAGTCCCACAGTACATCTTTAAATCTTTTAGCTCAAAACACTGCAAAGATGGTTCATTTCACCACAACCGTGTGACCTCTGGTTTAGTCCTGTTCTAACTGCACTGTTCTGGTGACCATAGCTTTAAAATGCAGCGAGTCTGCTGTCCACACCCCCTTCAGGAAGAAGACTCTCTCTGTGTCACAAATTAAAAGCACAAAGCTAAACATTTGATAACACTGCAGCCACAATTTACACCAAATGTTCTGTCAGGAGTTTTGTATAATAATAATACACGGTGATAAGCATTTATCAAGTTATCATTTCCTAAACTATCATAATGCACAATGATGTAGCCGCTAAAAATGCTAGAACCGGAAGTAATAATATAATTTAAGTTCAGTTACGATCACAGGTTCATCTGCTAGTAAGTATTTCAGAGGGCAGTGCGTAGCTGATTGTTGCAGTAGTGAGTACATTTAATATGTATTGCAGGGATGTGTTCCCCCCAATATATATTATAACTACGGCCCTGGCTGAAACTGTCAGAGCATTTTTTTAAATTCAAAAACAAGGACACTTACTGTATACGGTTACAGGCAGGTGGTTACAACACATGCTACCGTCATCTTTAATGTAGTAGCACGTGGCTGATGGATTCCATGCAGTCATACTGGCAACCTTCCACAATATGAGGTTTCCGTCTTTTCTCGCGTGTCCAATAGAAACGTCCAAGTTAGTTTGGTCCTTCTGGCAAGCATTCTGACATGCAGTGCACCTGGCAGACACTCGGTCACCGTACTTCACTGTCAGTGTGGATGGGCTGAATACGGGTTTATCTGCACAGTCTTCATCTGCGAGACAAACATTAAAGAGATGTACAGCAGCTCGGTGCAAAGTAGTGAGACTGACTCTGGGTATTTGCTTCTTCAATCAGTCAATCAGTTGTTTAGATGATCCTGTCTGTCTCTACAGCCTGAAGACTTTTCTAAATACATGTGCTCAATCACTTCATTTCATCACCATCATTATATCAGAACAGTAGAAAAACACTCTCGCTTTTGATGGAGGTGGACCTCAATAGAACCGTTTGTAACACTGTCAGGTAGTTTAATGCGTGACAATATATTTTTTGATATGTCTCAGTTGTAAATTAAAATCAAATTTATCAAGTCAGCTGTGTACACTTCTTGAATAATCCACTGTACAACCATAGCTATAGAGACAAAAAGCACAGAATCTGTCTACATGTTCATCAACAACAACATTTCATAGGCTGCTACACATGCAGCAACATTTAAAAAGAAATGTTTGTTACGTTGGAGGTTACTCACCACAACCGGACCCGTCCAGTCCGTGCATGAATGGCATCAAGGACAGGATCAGAAGTATTTCACGGCAGAGCATCATGTTCAGTTAGTCGTGAAGCAAGTACAACAGTCCAGTGTTACAAATTTTGAGAGTAAAATGATCTCAAAATGGGTGGGCGCCTCAATTATACTTTGTTTTTGCTGGAGTAGTTGCGCAATTCAGGATAAATGAAGTCTCCTTTCATAGCACACACCCAGTCTCACTAGAAAATGTATCATTGGATCCAGAAACATCACAGAGGCCAGTTTTATAAACATACATCCCACTGGTTGTGGAGTGATTTGTCACAAACTGGCCTCAGGTCAGGGAATCACACGTGAGTAGCTTAAGGTTGCACAAGTTCAATTTAGCATGAAGTTGAAACAAAACAAAGAAAAGAAAGGAAATCAGTTTTGATACATCACAGTGGTGAGTTTAGTGTATGATAGGTGCAAACAAGAAACACTCTAAACCAAACTCGCTGCTAGAAGTCTGTGAGTTAGAGAGCAGTCGTAGATGAAGGTTGAGGCTCACTTGACTCATTGATGCCCTTCTTAATGAGTCTGAGGAACCCAAATCACAGCAGGGGGACAACACAAGTACACAAAAATAAAGACAGGCATGATCAATTCTGTATGAGGACCCCTGTTCTACGCCGTGGTGTCCTGAGGCAGCAGCACATCAAGAAGGAACGCATCGAGGCTGGACAAATTCATCAGGCGGGCCAGCTCTGCAGTGGGCATGAAACTGGACTCCCTGGTGACAGTGGCAGACAGCAGGACACTGAACAAACTGCTGGCCATCATGGACGATGCCAGCCACCCTCTGCACACTGTCATCATCGCCCAGAGGAGCCAGTTCAGCGACAGGCTGCTCCTCCCCAGGTGCAAAACTAACAGGACCAGAAACTCCTTTGTCCCCCGAGCCATCAAACTGTTCAACTCTGAGCTCAGGGGGAGGGGGAGGAGCAGCAAGCAGGGAGAGGTGGGGAGTGAGGGGTGAGGAGTGAGGACATTGGGGTGAGACAGAGCATCATGCTCTATCACCGGACTATGTGGAATATTTAGGCACTTTGGTACTGTTACTGTTTCCATTATTATTGTTGTTGTTATGATGATGATTATGATGATGATGATGATGATGATGATGATGATGATGATGATGATGATTGTTATTATTGTTATTATTGTTATTACTAATGTTGTGTTGGTGTTGTGTTGTCACTAGTACAACAATTTCCCTGAGGTACCCTACCAAAGGGATCAATAAAGTTCTATCTAATCTAATCTAATCTAATCTAATTAAGTTAAGTTGCTAATTGTTTTTTTTTGTTTGTTTTTTTGAATGTATTCTTCCACTGTTTCCTATTGTACAATAATCAAATGGCAAATTCTGGATTTTTTTTTTTTGACTCATATAAATTTACAACGAAAGTTTAAGGAATGAAATCTCTGGAGAATAATTCAGTCTCCAATTATTTTGTTCTCAACTGTGTGGAGAGTCCCAACAGCTGCATTTTACTGAGTGGAATGAAACACACAGAATGAACAGTATATATGTACAACTACACATTTTGATGCATTTGTTTTGTAGAGGTCACATGTGAAAGTTTATCCTGTTGCCTCATAAACAAGGTCATGGCTGCTCTTCCCTTGTAGGAGTTCTTCAGGTTCTCCAACATGCTCCCTCGAGGATACGCGGATCTCATGAACCAGAAACTGCTCACGGTCTGCAAATGTTCTAACAGACCTCAATGTGGGCAGGAATAAATATTCATGTGCACTTTAGATACTGCGTATCTGAAGTGTGATTACCAAGATGGAACCACTGGGAGGAGCCAAAGTTGTGAACATTCAGAAACTGTGCATAACTATACCTGAGAAGCTTCTTGGATGAGAGAAAGTCTAGTTGCTTTGTACTGAAGCTCCTTGGATCATCGTATTGTTACATTAGAAACACAAAGCCCACAGATGGCAAAAACAAAACATTTATTATCATTTTTCATGTGTTTTAAAGCATGTTAGTGTTGTGAAATGGTTCTGATGTTGGTCTGTAAGTCCATCACTTTGGTATTCATGATCCTGAGAGGATGAATCCCATGACTGGCAATCCTGACTTTGTTTTGCATAAATATGATCAATATAGCAGCAAACAGCTTCATGCTACCTGCAGAGGAAAGGCGTCTTTAGCAGAGAATGAAGTCTAACTTTGCATGTGTTGTAATCGTAGTCTCTCTGTTCTGTTTTTTTCGTCGCCTGCCTTGCTGCGTGTGCAAGTTAGCGTATGCTAATGCACATTAGTTGTCATCTATTTGTGCATGTGAGTCCCTCCCTTTGAAACTGTATTTTTTAAGGAAACAGATAGTGACCTCTGACACTGCACTGGAAAGATAAAACTGCAGGCTACTGACCAGTGGCACCAAATCACAAAAAACAAAGACAACAACAGTAATCAAAGTACATTGTAGTAAATATTCAGCATATATTTAGGTGGACTACAATATTTAACTTACTTTAACAATAACTGGTTTAGGTATCATTAGTGCATTTAATGTCTGATAATGATAATAATGCCTGACAGTGATTTTATAATAACAAAAGAGCTGGGGATGTTTCGATGTTGTATTAAATTGTATCATTATCTGTATAACTAAAAACAACACGGCTTTAAAACCCTTTTTTTTTTTTTTTTTTTTTAACATTAAATGATTACAACACTGATTTTTCTCTGTTCAGCCCATTTAGCAAACTAACTCTTTACCAAACTCCTGATAACTGTGCAGTTCAAGCTGTAGTTTGGTTTTTGAATGTATTTTCTAACTGTTTCTTTTGGCTTTAATTTCAAATGTCAGAATCTGGAAACTGGAATCTGGACTGATATAACCCCTTGCAGCAAAATGTTTTAGGAATGTGGTGTCTTGAGAATGATTTAGTTTCCCTTCAATTTCACTCAAATGTGTTGAGAGTCCAAACAGCTGCATTTTCTTTCACTGGGTGGAATTAAACATGTACACAATGAGACAGACACAATGCATTGCCTGATTACATGCAGCTGTTTAGAACTCTGTATGTAACTTACCATTACCCTTCACTTTTCATATTTCCATTATATGGAGAAAATGGCTTCTTTTCTACATTTATATGATGCAGTTTATTTACATTGTACAGTTCACATATGTTGCCTCACAGGAACAACATCAATGCTTCTCTTTCCTTGTAGGAAGTTACCAGGTTCTCCAACAACCTCCCTTAAAGACAAATAAATCTCTTGAACTGGAAACTGAAAATGTTCAACCAGACCTTGATGTGGTTCAGCTATTTACTGAGAGGACGTTTGGAAAAAAATGCTTGTAAGTACTTTAGAAACTGTCTCTAAAGCAGTGATTCTCAAACTGTGGGGCGGTGACATGACAGGGGGGCCCGTGACCGCTCTCTGTGTGATTTTTTTTTTCTTGGGCGGCCAGAAATGTAGCAGGCGTTGTTTCTGGACCTGTGGTGCAACACACAAACACGGTCGCTGACCTGACACAC